AGGATGAGTCTGAAGCTAACGTCTTCATTGGGACTTCTGAGAAAAGGCAAGGGAGAACGGCTGAGGGGCACAAGGCACCGCACAGTAATAATTTTTCAGACTTTAGGAAATAGTGCCTCCTGCATGTCTGCTACATCCCTCTGGGATGCTGAAGACAGACAGGGCATCCTCTGCTGTGGTGACACCTGATGGAGTGGTTATGAGCTCTAGATGGTTAGTTTGCCCATGAAAGGCACCTGCTAGTCAATTTTCCATTCAGCAACAATGTAGCATGTAGTTTTTCCTACCCCACTTTAAGCTCCCAGTGGACCATGCTACCAGTCTTCCCCCTCTACACACACACACACACACACACACACACACACACACACGCTAGCTTATTTTTTCAACCTGCCTTATTGGCTCAATTGCTGGGCGCTTCTAATCTCCCATGGCTACTGTGCCCTTCCTAATTCTCTTAGCTCAGCATCCTAAATCTGCCCTCAACTTTAGTTGCTCAGTTAACTTCTCCTTGTTCAGCAACCCAAAACTGCCCTCTGCTAAGTTGAGTTTCTAATCTCCCGCCTGAGAAAGTGGCCCAAGATCTCACACGGCTAGTCACCTTTCCTCCTTCTGAAGCATGGTGAAATCCCCCTTTCTCTTCCTGCATCTCTTAGCCTGTCTGCAGGGACCCGGAAGTCCCGCCTTTTTCCTTCCACCCAGCAATTGGCCCCTGGCATATTTATTGATCGATCAAGAACCAATCGGTGAACAGGACCTTAGCATCAGAACCACCCCCTACACAACAAGTTATCTGAGATCAACAACCAAAAATGAGGGAAATTTTACTTTGGTTTAGCTCATGCTAGCTTGGCCCCATTCCTTTGAGGGTGCGGTGGAAGAAAAATGTTTACCTTCAAGAGGCCAGGATCTAAACAGACAGGAAGGGGCCCTCTGATTTCCTCTTCAAGGACAGACTCCCAATGACCTAACTTCTTTTTATTAGAGGTCATCTTCTGAAGTGTCTGTCACCTTGCAGTATTGTCACAGGCTGAGAATCAAGCCAACAAATCATGGGTCCTTGGGAGAGAAGACATTGCAGATCTAAGCTGCAGCAAGCTGGCTCTCGGCTGAGTCCTTGCGACCTATGGGAATTGGGAGCCATGGGAAGAGGGGCTCTCCAGGCATAAAGTTGGGGTTTTAATTTTTTAAAATTTTTGTTATGCTGGGCAAGTACCTTGTCACTGAGCTATACCACAACTCCAGAAGAGATATGAATGTATCAGTCAGCTTAACGTACAGAAAATAGAGAAGCATTCATAGTACGTGTGTGTGTATGTGTGTGTGTGTGTGTACATGCATGGGCACAAGCACATATTAGGTTTAGTTCATTAATGTGCTGGAATTTGTAGCTTACAATAGAAAATAGGGTTTTGTTTTTGTCAAATAATTGGCCACCTGTCCATAACATCATTCAGTTTAGCATTGTCACAGATTTGAATCGTCGCCTTTTCTTTGTATTAAACCAATGGGTGTGCTTAAAGAGGCTCTATTCCGCTTTATTACCCGTTGTTCATGAGTAGAACAATAACATGTTTGTCCCCCTCCCAACTTTGCCAAATGTTAATAAATATTTTATTTCCCAAATTAATTTTAGCTGTTTTAGAATTTGGTGGAAAGGCAATTTTGAATTTTAACTAGGACTATGCTATCTTTATAGATCAGTTTGTCATTCATTAAACCTCTGATAGCATCATGTCTTTTCGGGTAAACACTGCTTCAGTTTTTCACTCTCTCTTGAACGCTCTTCAGCAAAGCCTTGTGGTTTTGTCAGTGATCTGTATATTCATCTTTCCACTTAGGCCTTGGTCTGTTACTGATTTTAAAGCTATTTGTGGGGGCTAGAGACACGGCTCATTGATTAAGAGCATGTCCTGCTCTCCCAGGGGATCTGAGTTCAGTTCCCACTACCCACCAGTCAGGTGGCTCTCAACTACCTGTGACTGCAGCTCCTGGAGATCCAGTGCCCTCCTCTGGGCTCTTAGGGTACTGCACTTATATCCAATTTCTCTCTCTCTCTCTCTCTCTCTCTCTCTCTCTCTCTCTCTCTCTCTCTCTCTCTCTCTCTTTCACACACACACATACACACACTTAAAAATCAAATTATTTAATTTATTTTTAAAGCTTACTTGTACTCCTAAGAAAATTACACCTGAAAATCGTTTTCTTTAAAATCTGATCATTTTGATGAGCTTTCAATAATTTACCAATTGACTCTTTTTCCTTCTAGACAGTCACAATTTGAAAGCACTGTGAGAGTTTCCAATTTTAACTTCTTGACTTTGCTCTTTTATCGATTTGACTAGAAAATCCCTCTGTGTCTGTTTTCTTCTGCTTGAATTGATATTATAAAACACCATAGATTGGGGCCTTCAACAGGAGAGGTCAGTATTTTCCCAGCTGTGCATGGTGGGTTTCTGGTAGGCTGCTCTCCTTGGCTTGTGGCTGGAAGATCTCCCTACCCACAGTGGGCTCTCATAGCCTTTCCTCTGCATGCTTGAAAGGCTGGAGAGATCTCTCTTATAACTCCATTTAACCTTCTATTGAAGGTTCCAGTTCTCTGAATAGCTTACACTGTGGCATAGACCTTTAGCACGATATAAATCATGGAGAGAACACACAGCCCATAGCAGCATAACAAGGAATGATATAAGCACAGTGATTTTTTTCTTGCAACTTTATATTTTTTAATTAATATTACAAATGATAATTTACATCTTGCTTTGAATGTCTGAGAACTAGGGAGGACCAGATATGCATATGTGAATCTGTAAAAAGTCTGAGAATTAATATGGACAAAACTTGTTTGTTTTTAATTATTCATTGTGGTGGCTTATTTGAAAAAAAAATGTGTATCCTTTAGACACAGACCGGATGTCCAAGAAGCACCTGCTGATAGAAAACAGAGCTGCCACATATGTTTGCTGCTATGTGCATATGGAGTCTTAAGTGCTTGTAAGTAATTTGCACTTAGAAAGTACTTCTTCATATCTGACTTTCATTTATTCAAGACTTTCCATTAATCAATGAACATATTTTAATATAAGTAGCATAGTCTCCAATTGGTGTATAACTACAATAAGTTATTCTTAAACTAAAATTTTACATATTATAATAACTATAAGTCTCTATTTCTTGGTGAGTTGTGGGAGGAGAAAAAATTATGATAAAATAGACTTCATAATTCCCATTGTTATGAATGGAAACCCGTTTGGAAAATATGCCATTTAAAGACACAAATAATTACTTCTGGTAACTCTTGCTCAAAATTATTTTTAAAAATAATATTTGTATTAAATTTTTGAAAGAATGTCATACAATGTATTTGGACTGTATTGAACTTCAACGTCTCCCTGTAACTCCAGCTAGGATTCTCTAGAGAACAGAACTAACAGAATATCTATCTATCTGTCTATCTATCTATCTATCTATCTATCTATCTATCTATCTTCTCTCTCGTGTGTGTTTGTGTGTGTGTGTCTGTGTGTGTGTGTGTGTGTGTGATGTACGCATGTGATTTATTAGAATGGCTTGCAAACTCTGGTCCAGGTAGAGTCCAACAATGGCTGCCTACAAATGGAAACCCCAAGAATTAAGGAGTGTTCAATTCATACGACTGAATGTCTCAGCTGGTCTTCAGTTCTGGATTAGAAGTGGGTCTTCCCACTTCACACGATTTAATTACGAAGAAAATCTCTCATAGGTGGACCCAGCCATTTGAGTTTTGGTTAATTCTAGACATTTCCAAGTTGACATCAAGAATAAACATCATACATCCCTACCCCCTTACCAACTTTGTGTTTGGTTTCTTTTTAAATAACCCAAAGGTTCCAATTTGTGCTTTCCTTACACTGCTGGGTGTGGGGTCATCCACTGGAGCATACCTACTGGGCACCACACCCTTAAAGAAAAATCCGATTCTCTCTGCCAGAAGCGGTCAACTCTCCATAGCGCCCTCATGTGGTTGTGAACTAGAATGCTAACTAACTTGATCATGTGCAGACCTCATGAGCTCAGTGGTCCCAGATGGCAAATTTTCAGCGTACTACTCCCAACCTCTGGCTCTCTCGGTCTTTTCATTCTTTCTATGTGGTTCCTAAGACTTCTGGGAGGAGGGAGGATGTCCCATTTGTGACTAAGCATTGCATAGATACGTATTCTCTGTATTTCAACCAGCCATGAATAAGTCTCTGCATTGACTGCCCACTCCACTGCATAAACGTCTGTGATGAAATCTGAGAATTGTACTGATCAGAATTGTTCTTACGAAGTTCATTCATTTAAAATGAAGTTGGGTAAATCGAAGTAAATAGAGTCAACTTTTAAAACAATTTTTAAAATTTAGAAAATATATCCAAGAAAAACAAGCATTAACACGTTTGAGGTACATTGCAATGATCAATTGACTATCTTGTATCTTGTAATATATATATATATATATATATATTTGATAAAATATTTGATGACATATGTGTGATCCTTCTGGCAAGAAGTAGAAGATTTCATCTCCTGTAACTCCCCAAAGGGTTCATTTTGGAAAAAGCAATTTATCAACCCAAATCCTATTGTCTGTGGACCCATACACAGACTCAGCTGCCCTTCCGGTCAATTTCTTGGCAATAGATGAATGAACACTGGTGAGTTCCTTAATAATTCCTAGCTTAAGTTTCCCCATTCATAAAACTAGAATAGCATCTGTATACTGTGTGTCTTCTCTGATAATTACAAGCTAACCTGCTTGCTGTTGGGAACAGTTCCCAGCATGTAGAAATTCAGCACATGACACCAAATCATTTTCATAATTAAGTAAACATGTTACCATGTTTTGTTTTGTTTTTTTTTTTTGTCACAGGACAACTTTATTGAGTGGTAACATGGTCACACCCAGCAAACGTGTGTTCCCTCTCATTCACTCACACACACATTCTCTCTCACACACACACCCAGCCCTTGCCACAGTCCAGTTCTCAGCCACAGGGGTGGGGAGCCTCCTCGATTCCTAGGATCCAGAAGCAACTGGAGGCCCAGGGGGAGGACACATTCAGGAGTGGTGGGCGGAAGTAGGGGTGCAGAAAGCAGGGGTGGGCTGGGACCACCCACCAGACAGCTACACGAAGAGTGAGATTCCCCAGTCCTGGTGGCCTCAGCTTGGCTGCACCCCTTCCGAGGAGCCTTCCAAGGTGTGGCAGAACATTCAGGGTTTGGGAAGGGTGGAGTCCCACTCCGTTTTAGTCCTCTCTGCAGGCTGGGGACTGGAGGGCAAGGCGGGCCAGGGAGGTTGGAGGCTGCTTCAGCTCTGGGGCTCCTCCGGAGCCTCGCCACCCTCTTCCCCCGCATTGTCGGCTGTCCACAGCGTCAGGTTGTCTCTCAGCAGCTGCATGATGAGGGTGCTGTCCTTGTAGGAGTCCTCACTCAGGGTGTGCAGATCGGCCATGGCCTCGTCGAAGGTGGTCTTGGCCAGTGAGATGGCTTCCTCGGGGCTGTTGGCTATCTCGTAATGGAAGACGGAAAAGTTCAGGGCCAGGCCCAGGCGTATGGGGTTGGTGGGCGGCATCTCCTTCTTGCTGATGTCCATGGCCTCCTGGTAGGCTGACCGGGCAGAGTCGATGATGCGCTTCTTGTCATCACCAGTGGCCACCTCGGCCAGGTAGCGGTAGTAGTCACCCTTCATCTTCAGGTAGAAGACGCGGCTCTCTGCCTCTCCAGCCCCTTTGATGAGGTGAGAGTCCAGCAGGCCTAGCACGGTGTCGCACACACCTCTGAGCTCGGTCTCTACCTTCTCCCGGTACTCTTTCACCTCGGGGCCCTTCTCTTCAGACCCCTCCTCGTTGCTCTTCTGCTCGATGCTGGACAGGACCCTCCAGGCCGCTCTCTGGCCGCCCACCACATTCTTGTAGGCTACTGAGAGCAGGTTCCGCTCCTCGCAGGAGAGCTCCTCACCCTTCTCCACCGCACCCTTCATGAAAGCTGCCATGTCCTCATAGCTTTCGGCCTGTTCAGCCAGCTTGGCCTTCTGGATCAGACTGGCTCTCTCCATGACTCCGAGGATGGACAGACAGGTGGGCGAACTAGCTGCCTTGAGACTAACGCTGGATTCTGCTTACCATGTTTTTAAATTTCTGACTTTGGAGTAATAACTTGTCTATAGAAATGAATCTAAAAATAATCTTTAAAAGGCAAATTTTCAACCATGATTATTTATGTATTTTATTTAGTTTTGAGACAATGTCTCAATGTAGCCCTGGCTGGTCTGAACACAAGAGTTCCACCTGTCTCTTGCCTCCCAAATGCTGATATTATTATTATTATTATTATTATTATTATTATTATTATTATTATTTGGTTTTGGTTTTTTGAGAGAGGGTTTCTCTGTGTAGCCTTGGCTGTCCTGGAACTCACTTTGTAGACCAGGCTAGCCTGGTACTCTCAAACTCAGAGATCCGCCTGCCTTTGCCTCCCAGGTGCTAGGATTAAAGGCGTGCACCACCACCGCCCAGCTCAAATGCTGATATTAAAGGAGTGTTCTATCTCACTTGTCTGTAACTGTAGACAGTGATATTTTGGTTACTCAATTATTTTTTAAATAATTATTTCTTTTTTTTAAGTTCATAATATAGTCAGACCATTTCTCTTCTTTCCCATTGATCTGTCAATGCCTTTTCAAATCTATGGCCACTTTTTAATTAAATGCTAATATATATATATATATATATATATATATATATATATATATATATATTCTAATATTGGATAATTAATTGTTGTACTCTTCCCCAGATCAGACTCTCAGCCTTCCTTAGTTGCTTAAAGATCTTTGTGTAGGGTTGAGGACTCCCTCAGCTTTCCCATCCACATTAGCATGTCTGTTGGCAGAATCCTTGTTCAGCTCATGCTTGGGCAGTCGTGTTGATGAACTACTTTTTCTATAAAAGAGCTTCTCATGAGTCAAATATGGGATAATGAAATAATGAAATATTCTCCTTGAATTTTGGCATCCTGTAATGTTATATCCAGGATACGCTCTTAGATGCACCAAAGACCTCAAGACAGCATTCGTCTATGAAAAAATAAACAGCCTCTTAGGAACTCATGCAAGAGTTTATGGGTTTATGTCCAGCTTTATGGTTTAGAAAGAAAGGAGAACAGACCTTCCCTGAGTCAGAAGTTTTTCTCAAACCATTATAGAAAAACAATTATGACTCTCCGCTTCTTATTTGTATTGCTGGCTTGAAAAAGATGACTCTACAATGCTTACACTCTGCGGATATTATTCTACAAATAAGGGCCCAGCATGACATTTATGAGAAAGCCAGGGTCCTCCTGCGCAAAGCTGATTGGTGCTCAGCCAATGGGCTCTAGGATGCGGCCAATAAAGGCTCCTACTGCCCTGGGCTGGACAGATGCAGGACAGAGGTCATCTCTGCCTCTGGACCTTGGAGAAATACTCATCATCTCTGTGAACAGCACACATCTGTGGTCTGCAAAGAGAAGCAGAGCTCGAAGATGAAACGTCCGCTCCCCCAGTTTCCCCCGATCCTGGTCATCTGCTGCTTCTGTATGCTACAGATTCCCTCCTCAGGTAAGGGGACTGGGTTCTGAGTAAAACTGAGACAGAGCTTTATTAATCAGGGTAGTTCTCAAGGGAGCTGAGCTTCCTTCCTTTACTACCATCACATCTATCCTCTTGTTTTGAGGAGTGGCACTTGTGTCTAACTGGAATGATGGACATGGTGAGAAGCCACGGCCCTTTATCCAGAGATACTCAGATCAAACAATTCTTCCTCTTAGGAATGTCCTGATTTTGTGGTGGTGAAACTGAAGGGTATGGGTTCTATTCGAGTTGGGGAAGACCCTGCTTAGGGATCTGTTTCAGAGATACCAGAGAGGAAAACACAGAAAGGAAAACTGGGTTTAAAGTTCTCGAAACTGAAACCTGATGGGCAGCTGAAGAGAGTGGACACAAAAGGGTTTCTATCAGGGGTGGAAGCAGGTACCCAGAAGGCTCAGGGAAACCTGACGGTGAGCATCCACCAGCCCCCTCGGACGCTGTCCACGGTGCTGACCGAGTGCTGCATCTCTGATTTCTGGGCAGTTTGTAGGGAGTCAGAAGTGGGGGAAGGGTCTGAAGTCCTTGATCAGATCAGCATCTTTAGGACGTTTGCCATAGAGTGCAAGAAAGTAGGCTATTGATGGAGAGCCATGATCGGAAACGGACTATTTGAACTTTTCCATTAGAATTTTGATTTAGAGGCATAGAGAACCTTGGGGAAATGTAGTGTGTTTTCTCCTAAAGAGTAACTGCAACACTTGGGCACTGTTAGACATGGTATCAGCTTAACATCTTCAGAGTGCCAGGTCTCCTCTGTGGTTTCCCAGCTCCTTTCTGGATTCTGTTCAGTTACTTTGTCTAACCTTCAGCTCACTGCCAGCCTCCGACAATCAGCTGCTGGCCCTCTGGATTCCTAGACAATTATATTTCATAGTTTGTTTCTGAAAATTTGGTTTTTAATTTATTGTCTGCATACTTATATCCACCTCCCTATTTTTTCTATTTGATTTTGTTTCCTGACCATAGGATCCTCTGGTCCTCATCTTTGTATTAACACACACCTCTCAATAAGACCTCTTGGAATTGGTATGCAGTACCTTGCATTATCAAATTATAAAAAAATATTTTTATACTAAGCTGTGACATCCTAACATCTGAATTCAAATCAGAGATTCTTGTTGGGATCTGCCTGATTCAGGGGTATTCAGGGTTAGATGAATATTTCTTGCTTGTGACAGTTCTCAAAATAATTGAAGGGATTTAACATATACATCCTAATTTCAGTCTTCCTATAGAAAACTATATGTACCTTTAATTCTACATTATCTTGTATCCTTTCAAGTCAGATATTACTCTTCAAGGCATGAACGTTGTTGTTTAAATATGCCAGAATATTGTGTTAGCTTCCTGTTGACTCAGATTGCAGACAGCAAATAGCCAGCACTGTGTGTGTGTGTGTGTATGTATGTATGTATATGCATGTGCATGCATATATGTGTGTATGTATATATGTGTGTGCATGTATGTATGTGTATATGTATGCATGTATGTTGTTATTAGGATAAATTTTTCTTGAGCGAAATAGCCCCTGTTCCACATTTTAAGATATACAAGTTCAGGATATTATATGTATTTATTTAATCTTATTTTGTTGGTGCTGACCTACCTTGTGGATTCAACTACATAAACCTCTGAATGTTGTATCATGTGTAAATGAAAAGACCTGTTCATCTAGGTCAGAAGGGAGCTGGAAGGCTCTAACTACATGCTAGTAACAACTCTTTCCAGAACTCCACTCCTGGAGGTGCTGATGGAACAGAGACAGGTACTGACGTGTCTTAAAAGCCCTGACTAGATGCGCATATGTTGTTGGCATTACTTCCTGATATTTGATCCTCACGAATCCCACCAAAGTAGAAACTTACTTGGTCCCTAAGTGTTTTCTCCTTCTTTCTTGATTTGTTAACTGAAAAACTAGAAACCCCCATTTAGCTGAGCACATGCAGTTTTAAAATAATGTTGTTACACATCTTGGATTCGAGTGTACTAGGCAGAAGTAGTTTGCCGTTTTAGTTCCTCTTAGCAGTGCCTTCTGTTACATTCTTAGGCGCTACTTTCTCAATGACTTCTTTGCTCTGCTCTGTGATGGATTCTATTAAGACCTCTGTGTATTTTTTTTATTGCATGGATGCAGAAGCAAATGCTATGGCCTCTTCTGGAACTGGTGTTTTGATTATCTTTTGTTACAGGAGCTTCTCCACCTTTAGCTACTCCTCCTGACAGCTTGAATACTGTGGATCCTGAGGTATGCCATTGTGCAACACTTTGCATTTATTTCCAGCTTTGAAAATATCATGTGGTTAATGTTCACTTAAAACTATTTTAAGATCGGATATTTAACTGCAGCAGAACCTTACTTTGATTGCTGCACAACCTCATTTACAAAATCCTGAGAGCCGAATTGAAATTTGCTGCATTGCATGAGGAGATAATTCAAGGTTCATAAATGGAACAATTTTAGAGTTTTAAATATACTGTAAGAGAATTCCATTAACTAAAGAATTCATTCTTGTGTTTGACTTATTTTCCTCATTTTGTCTTAGCGGCTGTCATACTTTCTGAACCAGAGGGAAACACGTTCTAACCAACATAAGGTAAAAATAATATATATGGTAGCTCCTGTGGTTACATTAGTGTATATTTTTGCATCCTAACCTTTTAATAAATGACGCTTTAGCTGTCTCCTAGAGAATGTTCTGTATGTGTGCCTGTGTGTATAAAAATACAGTTTCAGGAAAAATCAAGTTTCTCCAATTGATACAAATTACCACAAAATACTGGTACTTCATGTATATTCTTAAGATTAGATTATCTTATAACTTTAAAATCTTATAAATTTATACTTTCATATATAATTTATAATCTTACAAAACATTATATGTATATCATAGATGGATGCATTATGGCCTAACAGTTCTCCAACACAGTGGGTCTGATGTAAAGGACCACAGTAACTATAGTAATCACAGCTAAAGGAATTCAGTGGATACAAAGTCAATGTTGATTAATTAAAAACTGAGGAGAGTGGTCCTGGATATACCATAACTCTCAGCACAGCCTATCAGTTTTCACCTTCACTAACATTTCCTCCACTCCCTCAGTCGTCAGCATCACACACTCCAGCCGCATCCCTCATCTCAGTGTTTCTCAAACACACCAGACCCTTCAAATCCTTAGACAGCTTTCCTTTTGCCTCCCTCAGAGCCTGTAGCTACACCCTGGGCTCTCAGACTAAGCTCTTCAACCCTGGCAGTGTCTTGATTGCTCTGTTGCCTTAGTTCCGTGTACATAATTGTTGTACCAGCTTCAGTTATCCTGACCGAGTGCTTCAACACCTGTGATGTGCTTTCAGTGGTGCCCACAGCATGGTGAACAACAGCCATGAGCTGCCTCTTGTTGCAGCTCCTTCCCACTCTCAATCCAAGGGC